CAACTCTAATTCAACAAACTCACTTTAATTCAACCAAAAATTCTGATCCCGCAGGGTATTGAATTAAAGAAGTTGAACTGTATATTTATATATTAAACCACTTGTTTTTTTACTGTATAAGTAAGTTGTTATTATAGAAATTTTTGTATCTCTCTCTTTTTGTGTTTACCTTTCATCTTTTGTGGAATATCTTTTTGTTGTTGTTGTTTTTTTTTTTTTTTAAATCTTTACTCTTCTCTTTCCATTTCTTTGTTCACTTGTGTGAGGTTTCTTTTCGACTCTCTCTCCGTCGCAGTGTACCCAGCCAGATGTTATTTCTCTCTCTGCAGCAAGGTAGCTGGATGTTGTATGAACAGTAGCCAGAGATACTAGTTAGACAACCATCTTGCCTATAACCCTCTCACTCTGTGTGGCCAGCTGCAAGCTAACATTTGGCCAGTCTTCACTTGAAGAGGAGGGAGGTTTTCTTTTCTTTAACAAGGTCGTCAGGTGTGTAGTCTATTGACTCTCTCTCTGGATGGACCATATTCTTCTGTGTTTTCATACAAACCTTCTTTTTTCCTCCCAATTTCCATAATTCTATCCAATTGTGCTCTCTTCTCGGCAGTTATAACTGGAATAGCAACCACCTATAAGAACAGATAACACAAGAAAATAAGACCTAATCCAAATAATTCGGGAACAACATTGTCACCATCATCAGACAAAAGAATAAATTTGATTGATTTTATTCTTTTGTCTGATGATGGTGACAATGTTGTTGCAGAAACGTCACACACTAATAAATTATTTGGATTAGGTCTTATTTTCTTGTATTATAATCTATAATCCAAATTGTGCTTTATCAAAAACAGATAACCTAAATTATTGGTGTAGGATTACATCATAACTTTTTTTTTAAAATCTACATCAACCAATGATGTATTTAACTCCCAATGTTTCAGTGAACTGCTGTCTCTCTTCTCTGGGGAATGATGGAAAGTGACAGCAATTGTTTTCCTTTATCTTTTTTTGTGTTTATCCTTCATCTTTTGTGGAATATCTTTTTGTTTTTGTTTTTCTCTTTAATCTTCTCTTTCCATTTCTTTGTTCACTTGTGTGAGGTCTCTCTATCTCTCCGTCGTGGTGTACCCAGCCAGATGTTGTTTCTCTCTCCACAGCAGGGTAGCTGGATGAAACGTCAGGAGTTAAATAAACTATAGGTTGATGTGGCTGTGTTTTTTCTGAATCTATTTCCAACCAACAAATGATCTTCGGAATTTTTTTTTAATACCAGAAAACTATGGTTTCGGGCTATAAGCTCTGATCAGTCTTTTCTAAATTAGTACACAACTGAGAATGATAGCATCGCTATACTGAAACATCACATATATATTGGAACTCCTCCTTTGCCAGTCCCAAGCCCGGATGAAAAAGGAGGAGGGGGAGCAGAAACAAGCTCTCTAAAAAACCTGGCCTCAGCTGGCCCAGCTGATAGTACCTTGTAAGGGCTCCTAATCCAGGGATACAGGATGAACAGCGTTTGTACTCCATGTTAAGAGTGGCTGCACATGGCATCTGTTCCTCATGTCAGAGGTGGCCATTTCTTTTGGAGCTAAGTTGGCCTGCCACTGAGTAGTGCTTCCAGTCTTAATAGCAAAGGCAGACACATTCTACTTCACCCAGTCATGATGGTTGTCAAATCTCCCCACTATGCTGCATCGGCCGTCGCGCAAGCTTTACGAGCTTGATACCCTAATATGATTGAGTGGAGATCAGAAAGAAGAAGAAGACAAATATATTGGATTATATTTCATTAATTTTGATTAGCATATCTTTTAAAATTCTTTTCGTTATATATTTAGTACAAGTTAAATCAGTATTTGAGAATAAATATGTTTTATGTGAGCAATAGTCATCCTGGAATTATTTGTATAGAAAGATCATTTGATAATGTAGACAAAAGTAATTGCCTGATGAAGAGCAGAAATTCACGCGAAAACTTGCAAAAATCTAAAATAAAAAAAACTTTTCACCCGAATTCTATTTTCCCCCTTCAAAAAAATATGTTTGTAGTAATTCAACTTTTAGAAAAACTTTTTAAATAGGTGAATTCCTTCTACACCTCTCTCTATATATTGTAGGTATTTGTGCGGACCAATTGGCTTGATGAGCTAACGCTTGAAAACTTGCCATTTTAAACTAATAAAGGAACTTCTCATCGTATGAGGTGTAGGGGTACAGCTTTCGCTGATTTTGGCACCATGATCCAGGCACAATTTGGTGAAAGTCTGACTTTGCCTTAATTTGAGGCTGTTCCTAACACTAACAAGATATAGAACAAGTCATCTCAAGACATTGAGGATAGAAAATAACAACAAAATCTACCCCACTTGCCCAAAATATAGCTTGGCACCTGTGGCTCCAGAACACTTTTTGGCTTGCATTAGATGCACTAAACAGGACCTTTGGGAGAGGCCGCTGCTTATCATAAAACAGCTCAAGGAGCATGAACTCATGGAATTTGTGTAATCTTTACACAAGGGGATAAGGAACAGCAATATAAAGGAACTTATTGCAATTATCCTGATTGATGTATTGTGTATAGCGTATAGTTTTATGTCTATTTTGATGGAAAATCTAGCCTTTTCATTTTTTTTTTTTTAGATCATTATATTCTCCCCTCAAAATTTCCATATCTATCCAGATTTCTTAGTTTCTTCACTTTGTGAATGACACACCTGTGCAGGGTGTTGACAAAGAAATCAATAGATGAAATAGAAATATCAAAATATATTTAAGGAAGGATGTGTTTGGTATATTCAAATAGGTGGTTGCTAGAACAGAGTCATTTTGCTATTTATTCTTTCTATGTTCACTCATTTAGTTATTAGTTAGTTTTTGCAAACCACTTTTTCCATTCTCTCACATTTTCTTCACTTCTCAAACCAATGCCAACAGTTTCATCTGTATCTTTCATATAGAGACAAACTAAAAGGTAAAATACATGTTAAGATCTTTTTAACATCCTTTTTAAACTATGACGTAATAAGACTAATAAATAAATACAGTAAAACCCCGCTAATACGAACCCTGGATATAGCGAACCTTCCCTTATAACGAACCCGCGGCGATTCCCAATTCCATTCCATTGAAAATACCATCGTTATAACGAACTTTGCGATTTTTAAAATAACGAACTACCCCTATAACGAACCTATTTTCGGTCCCAAAATGATAAAATCTATTTAAAATACTATGCTTATAACGAACTTAAAATTGTGATTTAAAAAAATTTTAAAACAACTAAATTTTGAGCATGTTTCAGCTCGCGAATCGCGATTTCAAAACAAAAAATTAGCGGCATTGTTTGTTTTCATTTCCATTCTATTTTTGCTGTATGTTGTATAAATTTTTACACATTATACTTTTATTTAATATAATATCTTTGCATTCGACACTTTTGAAATAGAAGAAAAATACAAATGGCTTCCAAAATAAAGAAAAGAAACAAAGAGTGGCGTTCTAAAAAAAAAACAGTGGCAGCTTGCCCTTTTAGAAGCATTCTATATCAAGTTTAACCTAGGCCAAAAAATAATTCCAAATCATTTTAAGGCCAGAAATGGTTTGAATAACAGGTTAAAAACAAAATTTAATGTACACTTCAGAAGAATATGTGGAGACTGGAATTGGAAGAAGAAGAAGAAGAAGAAAAAAAAACAGTTCCCCCATGTCTCATGGGCCACAAACAAATCGACTTATAAATTCTCAAAAACTACCACTACAGTTCTATTTTTAGAATGGAATTTTTGTTAGGTATATGACTCATTCAGGGTTCGCGGATATTCCCCCTGGCCTGCCGTTTTACCACCGATTTTGTGTTTGCAAATTGGGGGTTTTTATTCGCAATTTTACCGATCGCGCTATCGTATCAACATGTTTCGCGTCCGATTTTTCTGAATTGGATACTTTTGATTCATCCTCAATTGATTCAGAATACACGGAGCTTTATTCCTTTGATGGAAATAACGATATTTTAAGACAATTCTTATTTTCAAATTTCACCTTTCACTTTCAAACAACAAGGTATTAGAGGCATTTTTTCAAATAAATATATAGTATTATATTATTTGAGAAAGATGTTCTAAGTTACTCTTATACCTTTTTAATATATAATTAATAATGTTTTGCCCTGGGGGATTCGGCTTAATTTTTAAATAATACATAGGTTTATATATAAACATGTATGCTAATGATAAGAAGAACCTATTATAAAATGACTCATTTTGATATTCAGCATTACTGTAAAGAAATAGGTCAATTTAGGGAATTAAAACAAAGTGACCATTATTAAGTGGCTGCCTTTTCCTGTTTGTATGCCTGTTTTTTGATTATACAGTCTAAAAATTTGGAAAAGTTTAAAAAATGGCCAAACCGTGGCTATAGTGAACCGTGGCTATAGTGAACCAAAAGCTCTGTCCCATTGGGGTTCACTATAGAGGGGTTTTACTGTAGTGTGTGTGAGGTTTGAGTAACAGCATTATTATCATCATCTTACAAAAGAAACATCACACACTACAAGGTAATAAGACTAAATCTAAATAAATAGTGTGTGATGTTTCTTTTGTCAGATGATGGTAATAACGCTGTTACTCAAACCTCACACACACTATTTATTCATTTGGATTTAGTCTTATTACCTCATAGTTTAAAAAGGATGTTAAAAAGATCTTAACATGTGTTTTACCTTAAAGTACCTAATCCATAATCCAAATTGTACCTTATTAATATCCTTTTTTTTATATATATTCTTTATTGTATTATGAGATGTGTAAATGTAAATGCATTTCAAAGCAAGCTAGTTGTTATATTAACGGGAGAACACTGAAGCCTTGCGCCACCTGCGCACACCTCCCACATGCATACACATCAGATGTCCTCATTCTAACACAAAGCAATCAGTCTGCCAATCCATCCATCCTTTCCAAATGGCAATGCCTTTACATCTCACAATATGGCCTACGGCCATTCCACGTAGAAAACACCGGTTCTCGTCCAATCACCAAAGTTAAGCAATGTTGGTCAGGTCAGTACTTGGGAGGGTGACCACCTGGGAACACCGGGTGTAGCTGTAGGCTATTCTCTCACAATATAATAAAGAGACAAAAAAAAAAAAATGTCTATCAGAAATAAAGGACAGAAATAATTGTAGGTGTACCCATAATTGTATTTTTTTTACAGGATTATAATAAAAGAAAATAAGACCTAATCCAAATAATTTATTAGTGTGTGACGTTTTGGCAACAACATTGTCACCATCATCAGATAGACTTTTTACAGGATTGAAAACTCACTTCAATCTTTTTTAAAATTTATTTCCAATGTTTCGGTGATACACTGTCACCCTTGTCAAGGAGACCAATCTACTAGTTTGCTTATTTCTGGTCTCTTTATGAAGATACTTGGAACATTATAAGGTAATAAGACCAAATCCAAAAAATTAAAAGACACCAAATTGTTCCTGCGGAGAAACTGAATGAACCACCTTATCTACGACTGTCCAAACTTTACAGAAGTGAGACATCGATTGTTTCCTGATCTAAATGATTTAACTCTCTTACATCAGCCACTTTGTGTTTATATAAATTTTATGAACTCTGTCAATTAATACAGGTAAATTTGTAAATATTTAATTATAATTTTTTTTATTTATTTGTTGTTTTTTTGTTTGTTTCCTCGGTAATAGGCACAAATATTTCAATATCACGCCTGGCTGATTAATAAATTTAAAAAAATAATTAATTAAAAGTGTGTGACACTTTGTAACAACACTGTTATTATCATCAGACAAAAGACTGAATGACAAATATCCAAAAAATATATAATTTTTTTGGATTTGGTCATATTACCTTGTAGTTCTAATCTATAATCCAAATTGTACCTTATTATACTGAGGAACATGTAGAGTGTCTTCATAATGCCCTGAAGTGTATTAATAACATGATATCCTATGGAAAAATGTCCATACACTATCACTGAATAAGATGATAACTGCTTTTCACATGTGTAGACATGTGGTACACTTACAGTAAAAGCAGTCGTCAACTTCTGCCCACCATGATTATCATGTTCTGTACCAGGTGTACTAGAGAGAGAGAGGAATATAATAAAAAAACTATCTATAAATAAATAGATTTTTTAAATCCTTTATTTCATATAAATTACTAAGAGAAAACATAAGGTAATAAGACCAAATCCAAATAAATAAATATTGTGTGACGTTTTGGTAACAGTGTTGTTACTATCTTCAGACAAAGGTACTGAATGTCTGAAGATGGTAACAACGCTGTTACAGAAACGTCACACAATATTTATTTATTTGGATTTGGTCTTATTACCCTGTGTTTATAATCTATAATCCAAATTGTGCCTTATCATTACTAAGAGAAGTTTTACTGTAAAGTCAACTCTCTTTAATAAAAAAAAAAAGGAATAAATGATTCCTTTTGAATTCAAGTTGATACTTTAGAGGGGGATTTGAAAAGACGGTTGAATTATGTTAATCGTTGAATTATACTAAATTTAAATTTATAAATTCAATTGCCATCTATTGATAAAATTTGTAACAAATAAATATACTGGCAATGTGTTTCTTTTCAATAATATCATCAAATATTATCTACTATACTAAATTTACTTGAAGAAATATTGCTTGGTCAAATTTGTGAAATGGAATATGATGGTTAATATTTAAAAGTGGAAAAAAAATATTGAAATTGTTGATTTATCAAAGTTAAACTGTAATAAATGAAAAACTAAAAAGAGCATTAGTTGTATCAGTGAATTTATGGTACCTATTTGCACGATGTGATCTAATATGTAAATTTGTGGATTCTTCAGAGTAGGGAACATCACAGTGTCAGTCCAGTCACTCGTCCCAACATCCAAATCTAAAGTAAGTATCTCTTTATCTATCTGGGTATGTTGCATGTGTGTGTTACAGAATATAGTAAAACCTTACTAAACCAGGGGTATAGTGAACCTTTCCTTATAATGAACCTATACTATTTCAAACTTTTTAAAAGTAATTTATTGAACCCTGGCTATGAAAGGGATTATGAAATCAAAGCCGCCACTGTACTGATGAGGGCCAAAGTCTGAAACCTTGGTATACAGGTTGAATTTTTGTCAGAAATTTTGCCAAAACTGGTGTTGTCTGCATGTAGTGCACTTACAGTAAAATCAGTCACCAACTTTTACCCACAATGATTATCATGGCCTGTACCATATGGTTACTAGGGATAATAAAAAAAATACACTGACTTTAATTCAACCAAATATTCTTCTTCTTTCTTATCTCCACTCAATCATATCAGGGTATCAAGCTTGTAGAGCTTGTTGATGGTGTCTGCTGGGGATGAGTAGAGCTCATCAATAGATGAGTCAATACTGTCAATAATGTGTTTGGGGTTCCAGGTTGAGAATTGCACTTAGTACATAGTGATAAAACCTTGCAGCCATTCTGGAAAGTCATTGTCTGTAGATGACCAGACTTAAGTCTGGAAATCAAAGACTGTTGTTCTCTTGGGAGACAGAATTGTCCCTCCTGCTCTGTACCAGTCATGTGCAGCGTTAATTTCCATTTCTCCAGGCATTGGGTCTTGATGGTACGGAGAAGGTCTCTTTTGTCTAGTTGGGTGGTAGATTTCCTGGTCTCAGGGAGGCCAAAAGCTCCAGACTTTGCCAGAGAGTCTGCTAGCTCATTTTCAAGAACTCCAACGTGAGCTGGATATTCTGATCCCTTGGGGTGTTGAATTAAAGAAGTGTTTTGAAATGTATGTGGGATATGAGTAGAGGTATAGCAACTTAATATATTACAGTGAAGTTGTTGTGTGAGAGTTAATGTGTGGTGGTGGTGGTTTACTCCTTCAGAAACTGAGGTTACCCACCTCCTCCCTCTGTGACATCTGCGGCAATGCCAACTGCACCAAGCACAATTCTGATTTCGGCCAGCTGAAGCCCTGGATGGAACTGATGGTGGACCCCCAGGTGGATGCTGCCTTGGAAGAGGTATGTACCACACTTATTGTTTAGAGGACAGCTGCCTTTCCCCCTCAATTTATTGTTGTTATTTATTATCCCCTTGTGTAAAGATTGCACAAGGAACTGCTTTTCACATGTGTAGACATGTGGTGCACTTACAGTAAAAGCAGTCGCCTACTTCTATCTGCCTTTTTTGTGAGCCCTGAGCTGCTACGGTAACTGTGAAGCCCTACAGGGAACTATGAAATGTGGCTGACTAACAGGGCAATAGCACCCCCCATTTTCCACTCGGTTGGCTGGTATTGTGATCAGGGTGCACGGACCGAACCCTGCCTTTACAATTTAATAAGATCAATAAGCAATCCAGGGCTAGGTTTTTAAACTATTTTTTATTTCTCTAGCTTTCGGGCCAACATGTCCTTCAACAGGAGACCTAGAAGTACTACTTCCAGCCAATTATACACCCTAATTGGCTGGAAGTGGTACTTCTAGGTCTCCTGTTGAAGGACATGTTGGCCTGAAAAGCTTTGGTGTGTGTGTGGGGGGAAGGTTTCAATGTCAATTAAAACTTAAATGAATATTTTTCTTTTTTTCTGTGTCCTTGTACAATACAGATTCCCGTGTAAAATTCACAGAAATTACACAGTCCAACTTCTTTAATTCAGCACCCAAGAATATCCAGTGAATTAAATTTGATGTTGGATTATACTCTGTTGCATTAAAGTAAATGTGAAGTAAAATAGAGATTGATTGGGATTGGAAAACTGGGTGAATTCTAGTAAGTGTGTGTTGAATTAGGGAGGTTCTACTGTACCATGTTATCTGATATCTAAGTGACCTTATGATCTCTATGGGTTCAGCTACTTGGACTGCTTCTCAAAGAACATGTCTACTCCTGGTACAAGTAAGTCTCTTTGTCACTTTCTTTCTTCACTGTCTGAGCCATATGTTCAGCTTATGATCAGTCTACTAATCCATTTGTTGTTTGTATCCATCAAGTTGACTTTGGTAACTACACTGTATAACAAAAAAATCGACGCACCAAGAAGGAGTTGTCAGATTAGAACAAAAATTGGTGTATGTAAAGAGCATGTATAGGGGAAAAAACTATTAAAATTTCAGAACAATTAATTGTTTTATTTCAGAGTGTGATCCTCACAAATTGAGAATGTCAATATGTCGTTGGACCCCCACTGGCCTGGATGCAGGCTGCCACCCGGCATTGAAGACAATCCATAGTAACACGTGCCGTGTGTGGCCGGGCATTATCTTGTTGAAAAGTAAGCCCAGGGTGATGTGAGAGGAACGGCAACAAAACAGGCCGTAGAATGTCATCTACGTACCGTTGTGCTGTCAGGGTGCTAGGAATGACTACCAATGGGGTCCTGCTATCAAATGAAATGGCACCCCAGACCATAACACCCTGTTGTGGACCAGTGTGGTGTTCGACAGTAAGGCCAGGATCCACACGCTGCCCAGGACGTCTCCAGAAACGTTTGCGATGGTCGTCAGGACACAGTAAGACACGGAACTTGTCACTAAAGACTATACGTCCCCAGTCAGCGCAGTTCCAAGTTAATCGCTCCCGACACCACTGTAGTCGGACTTGTCGGTGCACGGGTGTGAGGGGTAGGCATCGTAACGGTCGGAGAGCTCTTAGATTCCGCTCTCTCAGTCGCCTGTTGATGGTCATTTTAGACACTTGTGTGCCGGTCACACGTTGGATGGTAGATAACGTGGATTCCGGTGCTGCGAAAGCCATTCTGATAATTGCTCTGTCCTCCCGTTCTGTTGTTGCCCTTGGTCGATCGCTGCCGTCCTGACGTTGCATACTTCCGTTGTTGACCCACTTTTGCCAACATCGCCTAATAGCCGCATCACTTTGATACAGATGTCGTGCGATTAGTCGATTAGACCAACCAGCCTCTTTCAATCCAATGGCACGGCCAGTTTCAAACTCTGATATATGTTCGTAATGAGCACGAATCTTTCGGCGAGGCATTGATACATTAGAAATAGGCGTACTGCTAAAATATTAAACAGAAATTCTGAAAATCAGTTCGTGCCGCGCCGAATATTGAGTCTAGAATGCTCA